GACAAGGTCCTGGGGGGAAAAACAGTATGGAAATTTCTCAAAAAATTTAGAAAAGAACTACCATATATTCTAGTAATCTCACTTTTAGGTACATATCTAAAAGAAATAAAATCACTATCTCAAAGAGATATCTCCATTACCATATTCATTGCAGCATTATTCACAATAGCCAAGATATGGAAACAACCTTAATGATCAATGATGAATGGATAAAGAAACTGCGGTATGTGTATATATATATATACAACACACACAATGGAATATTATTCAGCCCTAAAGAAAAAGAAGGAAATCCTGCCATTTGTGACTACATGGATGAACATGGAGGGCATTATGCTATGTGAAATAAGCCAGGCACAGAAAGACAAATACCGCATGGTCTCATTTATATGTGGAACCTAAAAAAGCTGAACTCATACAGAGTAGTAAGGTAGTTACCAATAGCTGGGAGGTAGGGAAAATGGGGAGATGTGGTCAAAGGATACAAACTTTCAGTTATAAGATAAAAAAGTTCTGGAGATCTAATGTACAGCATAGTGACTATAGTTAATAAAAATGTATTGTGTACTTGAAATTTTCTAAGAGAGTAGATCTTAAGTAGTCTCACTATAAGAAAAATCTATGTGTGGTGATGGATATGTTAATTAGCTTGATTGTAGTAATCATTTTGCAGTGTATATATATATATATATATACACATTGTGTGTGACAATGTATACATGAGACATAAAAATGTCACACTGTATCCCTTAAATATATATAATTTTTATTATCAATTATACTTCCATAAAACTTGAGAGAAAATATTATTTGGCAATATCTATAATAACTGAAAATGCCCCAAATCTGTTTTACTTCTAGGTATATATCCAATAGAAATAAATACATATGCTCATCAAACATCATATACAAAATTATCCATGGCATTCATGTTAGCCAAAAAATGGAATGAATCACAATGCCCATCCACAGTGAAATGTATGATAAATTGTGATGTCTTCATGGAATATGCACAATATACACAGGGGAATGCTATGAAATGAAAATAAGCAAATTACAGCTATATTCAAGAATACAAACATAATTTGAGTGAAAAAGGCATACACTAAAACACATATGCTATAAAATTATATTTCTATCAAGTTCAAAACCATTTCAAGGTGATAGAAGTCATAAAAGCATCCACCTCCGAGGGAAGGAATAATTAGTGAGAGAGGGGACAAGAAAGGCTTCTGGGGAGCTGGAAATCCCCTAATCAGAGATGTGATTCCATAAGTGTATTCCCTTTGTAAAACCCCTCAACTATACGTTTATGGTTGTCCATGGCTCTATGTTATACTTCAATTACAAAATTTCCTTCAAAAAAGTTTACCAAAAAAAAAGTAAACCACAAAGTGATTCATTTGGTATCAAATTCTCTGATTTAAATAGTTGCTTAAGTTCGAATGCCAGGTTTGCCACTTGTTAGAATATGTCTTTAATTAAAGCATTTAAATTCCTTTATAAAATTAAGATGCAATCGTTCATTCATCCAACAAAAATGTATTGAGTGCCTAACATTATATGTACTTGGGATATAGCAACGAACAAAACACTACCAAACCCTTACCTTCATAGAGCCAATATTCTGAAGGGAAAAAAAAAATGCCTGCTCTACCTAGCTTACATCATTTTTGTGAATCTCGAGAGAGATCTTGGTAGGTTCCTGCTTCTCTCAATTATCAGTGGACTGATAATATCAGCACCACTTGGGAACTCATTAAAAAGGCAAACTCGGGCCCCAATCTGGACCCCCTGAAAGTATTATTTTAACAGGATCCCCACGTAATTCATATGCACATCAAAAAGCACTGCTGTAGTACTTCGTGAATCATAAAATCCCATCAAATGTGGGCTATTATTATGTTAGTCATGCTCACCAGGAAAGTGCCACAACCCAGCAAATAAAGGTCTATGAGGATAAGAAAGCAACATGTCTATGCCCATCTTAAAAGATGTTCTATTTCCAGGGCATGTTATTATGGAGTGTTTTCTATCTGCTGTTTGTTTTTTAAATCAGTCTCAATTCTTAAAGTCAATAGACCCCTGCATCAAAAACCCCAGTAAAGAAAATGCTATTGGTGAACTTTATTGCTGGGTTTTTCAATTGGTTCAACACCATTTCTTGGTAATTCAACAGTGAGCCCAGGAAGAATACTTCAATAAAGTAATAAAATGTTGAACAATACAGACTTTAATTGGCATATTGGTGTGTCCCAGATTCATTTTGTGTCTTTCATCTCCTGTCTGGAAGAGCTGGCTCAACATTTTCCCGCAGGCTGTTTGGTGGATCTCTAAACAGTCTCAATCCAAAGGTGTTTTTGTGAAAGTGAGAGCCCAGGAAGCAGCTGATCATCTGGTAGAAGAGGATATTGCCCTGGGAGCTAGGGACTAATCAGGCCTTCAACAATTGACTTACTAGAGAAAAATATTTTGTCAAATTTTTCCTACAGTAGTATTACTCAAAATTTAATATATTAATATATACAAATCACCCAGAAATCATATTAAAATGCTGTTTTGGATTCACTAGGTCTGGGGTGGAGCCCAAAATTCTTCATTTCTGGTATGCTCCCAGTTGATACTGATGTTACTGATTCCCAGACCACACTTTGAGTAGCAAAGTCTTATCCTACCGGAACGCAAGAGAAACCAAACCAATAATTTTGCACCACTAGGCTTTTACAACATACACAAGAGGGTCTTCTGATAAAAATTAATGTCCAGCAAACCAAAGTCTGATTCTTTAGGAACTTAGAAATTAAAAGAGACATATTAAAACTATAAATACATATTTAGATATAACTATCTATATAAAAATGAAAGGAAGTATACTAAAATGTTAAAATTTGTATATTCTTATTTTCTCTTATTTCTACTTTTTTTTTTTTTTGAGAAAGGGTCTCACTCTGTTGCCTAGGCTAGAGTGCTATGGCATCAGCCTAGTTCAGCAGCAACCTCAAACTCCCGGGCTCAAGCAATCCTTCTGCCTCAGCCTTTTGAGTAGCTGGGACTACAGGTGCAAACCACCACACCCAACTAATTTTTCCTATTTTTAGTAGTGACAGGGGTCTCACTCTTGCTCAGGCTGGCCTTAAACTCCTGACCTCAAGCGATCCTCCTGCCTCGGCCTCCCAGAGTGTTAAGATTACAAAGGCTTGAGCCACCGGGCCCGGCCTTATTTCTACTTTCTAAATTTTCTAAAATAAACATAATTTGTGTAATTAAACAATAAATATTCATTTTAATATGTTTATTTTTACATATTATTCTAATCTCATGCTATACACATTGAATACTGGGCAAGAAGTCCTTGGCTTCTCCATCAATATCACAGTGTAACATATTCAGTTTCTCTCTGCCTCTTTTCCCAATCATCTACAAAGTGCTTATAATTAGAGAAAATTATTTTTTAAAATCATTTTAACTTTCCTTGTCTAGGACAGTATATGTTGATTGCCACCAAATGCTTCGTCAACACTGAAAAATATTTAGATGTGGTACCAATAATAAATAGAAGTGAAATTATTACATTAATCCGAGGCAAGGGCTGTATGTGCTAGAGGCCCAGTGAGAGGGAGCCTCTCTAAGAGGGCGAAAGAAGAAAAGTTGGAGGCAGAACATCTTAGCAATCTCGCCATTGCTCTCCTGAATTCAAACAGCCCAGGTTCATAAACCCACAGAATGCTTTCTGCAGGTTCACAGAATAAAACCTGACAGCACTCCACATGCCGGGGGATGGGCTCCGTAGTAAAAACATGGCTTATCACCTGCCTGGAGCATGGAGTCATTCATAGTCCCAGAGATGCTTTTTCTAGGCACTGTGGTGGTTCTGAAATTTTGTCTGTAATACTTTTAAGCACAGACTCTGATATAAAATTACTGAAATTAGTCAGTAATGGAAAGGTCCCTTCCATCTCCGAGAAAAAAATAGGAAGCTAGAAAGATACATTTTTTAACAGGGATTGATTTCTCTGGCATTGCTGATATTTTGAAATAAGTATAAACCATTGCTCTGTCTGCTCCCTGATGCAATTATTATTATTGTACCTTGCGATGTCATCCATTGTGAGCTGGTGACAGTCATTGTGTTTTTTCTGAGTTGTATTCATCACCCAAGTGCCACTGAGAGGACAGATGGTCAAGAGTATGACAGAGAAAATCTCGGAATCTCCTCCTATGCATGAGTCAAAAAGGAAACTGCTACCATCTTCAAGGTCTACTGAGGAAGTACATACCAAGTTCCGAAAGCACCAGGGGAGATCCCCAGCTGTTCTTGTCAGAGCAACCCTGAAACCAAGATCAGAATGGCTGCTCCAAGAGATTGGACCAGGCCACAAAGCATAATGACAGGTGGCAGATACAGAGAAAGTAGGGGTGGGAGGAGGTTGGGGGTGGCGCACTTTGAGATCAAGTCCTCCAAGGAATAGTAAAATCTTCTACGATGCCTCTGGGAGGTAGAATGGAAGCAAAACTTGACAGAAGTTCTTTCTTAATCCCTTTGGAATTACAGGTTTCTCTCTGAGCCAGAATTCTAATGAGGTAGCTCAATGAGTCCTTGAAGCATAATCACTAATAGCTTGATGTCATGATTTGTAAACTGAGTGATTGGGTTCATACCACACTTCAGACATGGACCAACTATAATTTGGAATGGTTATTTAACTTCTCTGAGCCTCAGCTTTCTCATTGAGAAATAAATAATGGTACCTAACTCATAGAGAAGCTATAAGAATTAAATGAGGAAATGCACAAAGTACACGGTGCCTCACACATAGTAGGCCTACAAAAAATAATAGCTATTACTAAATATGTGTGTGTGCATGCATGCATGTGTGTGTGTGTATTGGGGAAATCTTGTATATCTCATGACAAAGGAAGATGAGAAGCATTCTGGTTTTGGTTTTGATTTTGGACTTACTAAAAGCAAGTAATGATATGCAAAATGTTTTATGTTTCAGAGCCTCAAAAAATGAGTCCAAATAACAGTGTACCATGAAAAAGTTATCCTGTGTTCTGGATTAATGGCTTGTTAAACTCACTGAGAGTTGGTTTAGGTAAAATACTGTGCAAGTTTCTATATGTCAAAGAAAAATTGCACCAGACAGAGTTAAGCCGTCAAGAAAGACTTTATTCAAGACTATTGCAATAGAGGAGAGAGATAGAACTCAACTTTCTTAAAACAAAAGGTAGGGAGTTTTTAAGCACTGGGGTGGGCTAGTGGAAAAGCGATGGATTACATTACGGGGGAGGTGGGTCCATGTGAGTAGGCCATCTGTGTTTACTAGTTGGCTCTTATTCGCTTATTGAAGTTTGGCTCCAACCATCCCACAGAGACTGGGAGATAGGTACTCCCAGATAAGTGCTCCTACCATCCCACAGAGACTGAAGTTAGTCTCTTACCATCCCACAGAGACTATTTTTCCTGACAATTGCATTTCAAAGGGATGGCTCCTAGGTCCTAGAGAAAGACATTTCTGGATTATAAAACCAGCAAGAGGCTGGGAGAAGGTTTAGATCTAAAGGGACAAAGAAAGAATTTACAATTGCAAGCTTTCTAAAGTAAATGCTCTAAGAAAAGGGAGGTCAAAAAAAAAGAAAAGGGAGGTCAGAGGCCTGTATTAGTCAAGCTGAGGGGAACTTTAAGACCATCTTGGTCACATGCTCAGCTTGACAGGGTCAGTCTTAATGCATCAGAGAAGGAGTTGCCGCCTAAGGCATATTTTCTCTGGTACCACCAGGCAACACCTGTCCAAAACTAGTTACCCACACACATTTGCAATAACCATCTGTCTGGACAGTCCCACCATTTGAGTCACTTCCCCATGTTAGACAACAAAGATGGGTGCATGGTTTGTAGAAGGCCACTGTTAACAACGTTGATGCGATTCGGGGGCAGCAATGAAAGACCTACTTGCATCTCGATCAGCCCTCTGTCAGCAAAATTTTGAGGTAGTCAAAGGCTCTCCAATTTTTTGTTCCTTACTAGCCCCTCTTCTTGTTTCAGACAACCTATGGTCCTTTCTCCAAGGACCAACCAAGGCCCCAGTTGGTCCTTTCTCCTATTTTTCCTCCTAGAAAACTTGTTTATGAATTTTATACTAAAGTGTACATAACTGGCTAACAGCCTAGAGGAAGCCAGAATGTTTGTATATTAATGAAATCTTAAACTTAGTGAAATTTCTGGTTCTGGCCAACAATGATTGGAATTTTAAAGGACCTTCCCCTTAATGATGAAACTGCCCCACTTCTATTAACAACAAAAAGCTGCCACATTGAAAGACAGGGCAGGAAAGCATCAACAGGGACCCATTCTGCCAGGGACAACCTGAGTAGGCTAGGAGGGCCCCAGTGCCACACCAAGGAAAGCAGACACTCAGGTGAGTGCCTGATGATGGTGGAGGATGGGAATTCTAGAGGCTCTTGAAGAAGGACATCAAAAGAATATGTCTAACCAAACCAGGGAAATGAAGACCAATGTTTTCTACTTTTTCCTCCAATGAGTTTTAGAGCTGAAAAAACGGGACCCTAAAAAGAGCCCTGCTGTTCAACTTCATCCCTCAAGTATTATCTCAAACCTTTCCTTCTGGTCACAAAGCTCTTTTAGGAAACATAGTTTTCCAAATTCCAAATACTACCTCAATTGCTTCTAGACCCTTACTGTCTCCAACAATGTCTTTTATTGTATGCACCCAAGGCACAGTTAAATGAGTTGATATATATAATACAGGAAAAGAGTGGCTGGTATATAACAAATGCTATATGCATATTAACTATGATTTATTATTATTAATATTTATTATGCCACAACCCCAATAGTGAGGGATCTTTGGCAAAGCCAGAGTAGATAAGTACCCAGTTATAGCTACTAGATTAGCACAATAAAACAGAGGAACCCAGCAAATATCCATAAAGAAAGATATAATCATCCCCCTGTTCTTTATAAAGACTTAAGATAGCAGAATGGATATTATAGTTGGCTCTTATTCGCTTATTGAAGTTAGGCTCCAACCATCCCACAGAGACTTGGGAATAGGTGCTCCCACATAAGTGCTCCTACCATCCCACAGAGACTGAAGTTAGTCTCCTACCATCCCACAAAGACTGACTTCCCCATGTATGCTGGTCTTGCTACCTTGTATCAGTCAACTGAACCTATTCTTATTTGGGGTTACCTCTACCCAGAACCATAGATACATGTAGGATCTGAACATGGAGGATCCCCAGCTCTGGTAATATTCTCTTAAGATATTTCTTACAAGAAACTCATCAGTAAAACAAATAGAAGGGAAAGTCCTGTGATACTTGGGAGATAATCTTTCTTGACTCCTGTCAGCATCCTTGAAAGTGATCAGCTAGATTGATTTCATAACCCAGCAACAGCAGTTCTGCTTCCTGGGGAAAGCCAACTTCCAAAAATCACAATAGAACTGTTGATATAGGGTAATTTGATGGTAAACTGACGGAGCAGGGTGGGTTTTTTTTTAAAAGGGAACAGTGCAGTAAAGATAGTCTGTTTTTATGCCTGACCTAAATCTTTCACTTCCTCTCACAGGAGAGAAACAGATGTTCAGTGCAGAGCTGGGGAGGGAAAGGCAGAGATGAAGGAAATAATATAAAACTGTGGTTCAGGTTATTCTTTAAAACATCAGCTAGATGCTCATTCTCTTATGTAAGTGTTTAGAACTTCAAAACAGAAGAGCATCTTCATCTTTGTCTATAAATTAATTCTTTATGCCCTACCTACTTCACCTTTTCTTTAAAGGCACAAATAAAATAAATGCAGAGTCAATAATAGACAAGGCATCATTTCAACAAATGGTGCTGGGATAATTATAGATATCCAGAAAGAAAAAAAATGAATTTAAACTATTACCTCACATCATACACAAAATTAACTCAAAGTGAATCATAGACCTGATAGATTTTACCTAAATTTAAGAGCTGAAAATACGCCATTTTTAGAAAACAACATAGAACAAAATCTTTGTGATCTTGGTTAGGCTGAGATTTGTTAGCTACAGCACAATTCATACAAGAAAAAAAAATTATACTTCATCAACATTTACAAGTTTTGAGCTTCAAAAGATACCAATTAGAAAATAAACAGACAAGTCACATACTGGGAGAATATGTTTGTAAATCATGTATCTGATAAGGGACTTATATCCAGAACATATAAAGAATTCTTACAATTCAATGGTAAGAAATAAACCCACTTTTTAGAATAAGCAAAAGATTTGAATAAACATTTCACTAAGGAAGATATATGAATAGCCAATAAGCACATGAAAAGATGTTTAACATTTGTCACTAGGGAAATACAAATTAAAACCGAAATGAGGCTGGGCACTGTGGCTCACGCCTGTAATCCTAGCTCTTGGGAGGCCGAGGCGGGCGGATTGCTCAAGGTCAGGAGTTCAAAACCAGCCTGAGCAAGAGCGAGACCCCGTCTCTACTATACATAGAAAGAAATTAATTGGCCAACTGATATATATATAAAAAAATTAGCCGGGCATGGTGGCGCATGCCTGTAGTCCCAGCTACTCGGGAGGCTGAGGCAGAAGGATCACTCAAGCCCAGGAGTTTGAGCTAGGCTGACTCCACGGCACTCACTCTAGCCTGGACAACAAAGCGAGACTCTGTCTCAAAAAAAAAAAAAAAACGAAATGAGATATAACCAAATACCCACTAAAATGACTATAATCCAAAAGGCAGACAATAGCAAGTGTTGGCACAGACATGAGGAAACTGGAACCCTCATACATTGTTGGGGGAAATGTAAAATGGTACAGCTACTTTGACAAACAGGCTATTTCTTAAAAGGTGAATATAAATTAACCTTAAGATTCACACAGTGAGCACTGTATGAGGGAAAGTTCATGCCTCCAATCCTGGCTTGGGTGACACAAAGTCATAACATGTAACCAAAATATTTGCACCCCATAATATCCTAAAATGAAAATTATATATATTCACCAATTCTACTTCTAGGTATCTACTCAAGAAAAATAACAGTGTACATCCACACAAAGACTTGTACATGAATGTTCATAGATTATTCATAATAGCCAAAACCTGGAAACAATCCAAGTGATCATCAACTGATGAATGGATAAATAAATGTGCTATATCCATACAACTGAATATTATTCAGCAGTAAAACGGAATGAAGTACAGATGGCCTCCAACAATATATGTTGGAGGTACAATATTTGTACCCCATAATATGCTGAAATAAAAAAGAAGAAAAAGAGAAAAAAAGAAAGTCTCCTTTTGTTATAAAAATAAAATAAAATAAGCAAATTACTTGAATAGACATGCTCCAAATAAGATATACTAATAACCAATAAGCTTATGAAAAAATGGTTAATATCACTAAAAATTGGGAAAATGAAAATCAAAACCACATGAGATACATCCTCACCCCCATTAGGATTGCCACTATCAAAAACATAAAAACTATCTCCAAGATGTCTGAGGAAATAAAGAAAAAATAAATAATAAGTGTTGTTATGTATGTGGACAAATTAAAATCTTTATGCATTGTTGGTAAGAATGTAAAATGGTATAGCCATTATGGAAAACAGTATGGGGGTTCCTCAAAAAGTTAAAAATTGTTACCTTAGGATCCAGCAATTCCACTTTGGTGTATATACCCAAAAGAAGTGAAAGCAGAGACTCGTACAGATATTTTTACACCCATGTTGATAGAAGTATTATTCATAATCGCCAATACATGGGAAGCAGCCCAAGTGTCCATCAACAGATGATTGGAAAAACAAATATAGCATGTACATATAATTGAATACTATTCAGCCTTAAAAAGGAGGATTCAGACACATACTAAAACATGGATGAACTTTCAGGACATTATGCTAAGTGAAATAAGCCAGTCACAAAAAGACAAATACCATACAATTCCACTGTATAAGGTATCTATACAAATACCTTTATAAGGTATCTAGAGTCATCAAATTCATACAGATAGAAAGTAGAACAGTGGTTACCAGGAGCTGAGGGGAAGGAGGATTGGGGAGTTGTTTAATGAATATGAAGTTTCAGTTTTATTACACAAGATGAAAAAGTTCTGGAGATTGGTTGCACAAAAAAGTGAATATATTTGACAAAGCTAAAGTGTACTCTTAAAATGATTAAGATTTTAAATTTGTTGTTATGTGTATTTTACCACAATTCATTTTTTTAATGTTCTCAATTTCCCCACTAGAAGAATCATCATGCCAACCAGCAACTGCAGAAGAACTGAATCCAAAGAATGCCTGATTGTAGCAGGATGTTAAACCAAATGCACCAGACCTGTGGCTTATTAAGAAAAAAGCTGATATTGAGTCATCCTTTGGTGGCTGTTGCATACTGTATTTTGAGTCCATATCTGAGTACTTTCTTTACATATTTCTCTGAATTGAGCTTTGAGATGTGAAGACAGAAACAATAAGATGAAGATGAAGGATCACTGGTCCAGAAACATGGTTCTTCATAATTTATTTCTACTTACTGTAGAAACTTTAACTTGGCTGTGCTTTTTTATTATTATTATTTCAATAGGTTTAGGGAGTACAAGTGATTTTTGTTACATACATGAATTGTATTATGCTGAAATTAGGGCTTTTAGTGTACCCATTACCAGAATAGTGTACACTGGTAACCAATGGGTAGATTTTTATCCCTCACTCCCTCCCACCTTCCCCCTTCTTAGTTTTCAATGTCCAACACACCACATTATGACCATATAAGTGGGAACATGTGTTGTTTTTCTATTCCTGAGATACTTCACTTAGGATAATGATCTCCAGTTCCATCCAAGTTACCACAAAAGACCTTATTTCATTCCTTTTTATGACTAAATTATACTCCATGGTGTATTCTTCAGTTGATGGGCACCTAGGTTGATTCTATAGCTTAGCAATTGTGAATTGTGCTGTGATAAACATTCAGTTGCAAAGCTGAGCGTAGTGGCTCACGCCTATAATCCGAGCACTCTGGGAGGCCGAGGCAGGAGGATCGTTTCAGCTCAGGAGTTTGAGACCAGCCAGAGCAAGAGTGAGACCCTGTCTCTACTAAAAAATAGAAAGAAATTAGCTGGACAACTATATATATATATATATATATAAAATTAACCGGGCATGGTGGCGCATGCCTGTAGTCCCAGCTACTCAGAAGGCTGAAGGAGGAGGATTACTTGAGGCCAGGTATTTGAGGTTGCTGCAAGCTAGGTTGACACCATGGTACTCTAGCCCGGGCAACAGAGTGAGCATTTGTCTTAAAAAAGAAAAAAGAAAAACATTCAGGTGCAGGTGTCTTTTTGTAAAATGATTTCTTTTCCTTTTCGTAGATGCCCAGTAATGGGATTGCTGGCTCAAATGGTAGGTCTACTTTTAGTTCTTTGAGGAATCTCCATACTGTTATCTATAGAGGTTGTACTAGTTTACATTGTCACAAACAGTATATAAGCATTCCCTTTTCATTGCACCTGCACCATTTACTGTTTATTTTTTACTTTATAATAATAGCCATTCTGATGAGTAAAGTGGTATCTCATTATGGTTTTAATTTTAATTTGCATTTCCTTGATAAGTAGTGACAGTGATTAATATGGTGAGCATATTTTTGTACATTTCTTCACCATTTGTCTATCTTCTTTGAAAAAAATCTGTTCACCTTTCATCCACTTTTTGATGAGGTTATTTGTTTTTTTTCTTGCTAATTTGTTTGAGCTGTTTGTATATTCTGGATGTTAGTCCCTTGTCAGATGTATAGTTTGCAAAAATTTTCTCCCAATCTATGGGTTGTCTATTTACTTTGTTGATTATTTCCTTTGCTATGCAGAAACTTTTTAGTTTAATTAAGTCCCATTTATTTATTTTTATTGATAATGTATTTATTTTGGGGTCTTAGTCCTAAAGTCTTTGCCTCGGCCAATATCCAGAAACATTTTCCTTATGTTTTCTTCTAGAATTGTTATGGTTTCAGATCTTACATTTAAGACTTTAATCCATCTTGAGCTAATTTTGTATATGGTGAGTGATAGGGATCCAATCTCACTGAATGTGGCTATCCAATTTTCCCAGCAGCATTTATTGAATAGGGTGTATGTTGTTGTCTGTTTTGTAAAAACAAAAAACATCACTTGATTATAGCTATATTACTTTATGACTGGGTTATCTATTCTGTTCCATTGGTCTATGTGTCTACCTTTATACCAGTACCATGCTGTTTTGGCTACTATAGCCTTGTAGTATAATTTGAAGTCAGGTAATATGATGCCTCCATATTTGTTCTTTTTGCTTAGAATTGCTTTGGCCTATTGGGGCTCTTTTTTGGTTACAGATGAGGTTTAGGATTGTTTATCCTCAGTCTGTGAAAAATGACATTGGTATTTTAATAGGAATTTCGTTGAATCTGTAAATCACTTTGGGCAATATAGACATTATAAGAATGTCGACTTTTCCATTCCATGAACATGGAATATTTTTCCTTTTTTTGTGTCATCTATGATTTTTTTTCATCAGTGTTTTGTGGTTCTCTTTGTAGAGATCTTTCACCTTCTTGGTTAAGTATATTCCTAGGTATTTTATTTTCTTTGCAGCTATTTTAAATGGTATTGAGTTCTTGGTTTGACTCTCAGTTTAACTGTTATTAGTGTATAGAAATGCTACTGATTTGTCTACATTAATTTTTTAACCTGAGACTTTACTGAATTTATCAATTCTAGGAATATTGTGATAGAGTCTTTAGGATTTTCTAGATATAAGATCATATCATCAACAGAGATAGTTCGACCTCCTCTTTCTCAATTTAGATGCCCTTTGTTTCTCTCTTGCCTCATTGCTCTGGCTAGCACTTCCAGCACTATGTTCAATAGAATCGGTGACAGTGGAAATCCTTGTTTATTCTAGACCTTGGGAGGAATGCTTTCAACTTTTCTCCATTCAGTATGATGTTGGCTGTGGGTTTGCATATATGGCTTTTATGTATATTCCTCCTATGCCTGGTTTATTGAGGGTTTTTATCATGAAGGGATGCTGGATTTTATCAAATGCTTTTTCTGCATCTATTGAGATGATCATATGGTCTTTTTTTAAATCTGTTTATGTGGTGAATCATGTTTATTGATTTGTGTACATTGGACTATCCTTGTATCCCTCAGATGAAACTTACTTGATCAAGATGAACTATGTTTTAGATGTGCTGTTGGATACAGTTTGCTAGTATTTTGTTGAGGATTTTTGCATCTATGTTCAGAAGGGATATTTGTCTGCAGTTTTATTTTATATTGTGTCCTTTTCTGGCTTTAGTATCAGGATGATACTGACTTCATAGAATGAGTTAGGGGGGATTCCCTCTTTCTTGATGTTATGAAACAGTTTCAGTACGATATGTGCAAGTTCTTCTTTGTAGGTCTGGTAGAATTCAGCTGTGAATCTGTCTGATCCTAGGCTTGTTTTTGTTAGGAGATTTTGTTATTACTGATTCAATCTCACTATTCATTATTGGTCTCTTCAGGATTTCTATTTCTTCCTGATTCAAGCTTGGGAAGTTGTGTGTTTCCAAAAATTTATCCATTTTCTCCAGATTTCTAGTTTGTATGTGTACAAATTTCATAGTAGTCTCAGATGACATTTTTCATTTCTTTGGTATCAATTGTAATGTCTCCTTATTCATTTCTGATTAAGCTTATTTGAATATTTTCTCTTCTGTTTCTAGTTAATTTAGCTAGTGGTCTATTGATTTTGTTCATTTTTTCAAACAAAACAACCTTTTGTTTCATTAATCATTTGTACATTTGTTTCCATTTCATTTAGTTCTGCTCTGATTTTTGTTATTTATTTTCTTTTGCTATCTTTGGATTTTGTTTGTCCTTCTTTTTCTAGTTCCTTGAGGTGTGACATTAGGTCGTTAATTTGTGGTTTTTCTGTCTTTTTGATGTAGGTATTTAAGGCTATGAACTTTCCTCTTAGCACTGCTTTTACTGTATCTGAGATATTTTGGAAGCTTGTGTCATCTTTGTTGTTCAATTCAAAAAAAATTTTATTTCTGTCTTGATTTTGTCATTGATCCAAGGATCATTCAGCAGGAGGTTGTTTAATTTCCATGTATTTGTGTAGTTTTGAGAATTCCTCTTGGTCTTGATTTCTTGTTTTATTCCATGGTTATCTGAGAAAATACATAGTATAATTTCAATTTTTCTAAATTTGCTAATTTGCTTGTTTTGTGTTCTAACATATGGTAGGTATCTTGGAAAATGACCCATGCACCAATGAGAAGAATGTATATTCTGCAGTTTTTGGATAGACTGTTATGTAAATATCTGTTAGTTCCATTTGTTCTAGAGTCCAGTTTAAATCCAGTGTTTCTTTGTAAATTTTTCTCCCTCAATGAGCTGTCTGCCTTTGTCAGTGAAGTGTTGAAGTCCCCAGATATTATGATGTCACTGTTTATTTTTTTCCTTACATCCAGTAGAATTTGTTTTGTGAATCTGGCAAATATGATCGCTATATCTTCTTGTTGAATTGCTCCTTTTACCATTATATAATAACAGCTTTATCTTTTTTTTTACCATTGTTGATTTAAAGTCTATTTTATCTGATATGAGAATAGCTTTCCCTGCTCCCTTTTGGTTTCCATTTGTGTGATATATTTTTTCCATCCCTTCACCTTGAGTCTATGAGAATCTTTGCAAGTTAAAATGAATTTCTTGGAGATGGCATATATTTGTATTGACCAGCAAGCCTTATGGAATGAAAGGAACCTTCTGATTAACTATCAATGTTGATAAACTATCAGACTTTTAGCAGTCATAATAAAAGGCAAAGATACTTAAGAAAAGCAGCAATAATGGCCAATTGAAGGCTGATATTCTGACACAATGTAAGGAAAGAAAGAACAATGAAGGGATAGAAAACAGAATGGTCCTGTGGTGTGCAGGAGGTTGGGGACTGCATGAGGGTAGCAGTAAAGGGTGAAGAGAGTTGGAGAGGGCCACACAGAGGAGACCAAGTACCTCCCATACTTTCCCAGCAGACACAGCACCCCTCCCCTTAATCCATGTATCAGGAGGGAGTGAGGGGAGTGAGAATGAGGCTGTGTGCAACACTGGCTGTCACTCTACCTCAGTGGTCACAGAGGCCTCAGAGGGGAATGGCTTTACTAAGAAACCCTGCCATCAACCTCACCTCCAATTCACAGTGAATTAGGAATCATCAGGCAAACATCTCCCCACATTCCCACCCATGCCCATGCCTAAACATTTAACTACATTCACACTAGCGATTCCATCCTCCCCTGTGGTACAATGGCTGCTGATCCTCCTCTTCCTTCCCACTCAAGGCTAGTCATTTTGACCCACACTCTGGATCCCATCCCTTCTTCACTTTCAGAAGCCATGTTTCACCATTATTCCCTCTGTCCCCCTATATTTTCATCCATGCTGCTCCCTATGTATACTCAGATCTCACCCATTATTCAATAAATAAAAAAATTTTTTAATGAAAATTCCTAAAGCGTATATC